GTTTATCTCTGGGTTATACTAAAGTAAGCCAGTGATATGGGTCCTTACGTCACCAGTTATGGAAAGTTCTATCATAAGTCCTTTCGTGTAGTCTAGTAGTTAGTTGCGTCCGTACACTTGTTAAGGGTAAATTTAACATGGGATCTTTTGAGAATCTATCATTGTATCGTAATTAAAGGGAAAAAACATCGAAAGAATCCTTGAGAATCCACCTTTGTGTCGTAGCTTAAGTGAGTCAGTTAGATACACTCTGCTATTTCTTATTTGTGGATAATTTTACTGTAAGAAACTATGAGAATCCATTTTTTTCCGTAACTTAAGTGAATCACTTAGATACGTTTTCATACTCATCAGTTCGGAGAATTTTTGAGAATCCACTTTTCCGTCCTAAGTGAGTCAGTCAGATACACTCTCACATCTCCCCAGATATAAGGTAAACACATCACCTTTCAGAATATAGTCACTGCTTTTGGGGTTGCGATCAACCTTTGAACTGAAGCCTTCACGTAATGCCCACCATTAAACTCAGGGCCCGACCACTTTATTCTGAGGGTAGCGTTGTATTTTAAAGGTTGAGTTGTATTTTAGGGACGGGTGTTGTATTTTAAGACGAAGGTGAGTTTTAGGGGATGAGTTGAATTTAAAGGATGGAGTTATAGTATAGGAAGGGTGTAATATTTTTCAATGTAATTGTATTTTAAGAGCTGAGTTGCATTTAAAGGATAGACTTGAATTTATGGGATGATATATTTTAGGAACGGAGGTGACTTTTAGGGATGGAGTTATAGTTTAGGGATTTTAGGAAATAGTTTCATTTAGAAGCAAACTTGGACAGTATTTTAAGAGACTGTTGTATTTAAAGGGCGGATTTGTATTTTAGAGGACGGGGTTGTAGTTTTAGCAGGTATTGTATTATAGGGGCAGCATTCACCTTCAATTAAGGTTTAAAGGTGATATGCAGGTTCTTAACACTGATTGAAGATCTTGACCAGAGAGAGAGAGAGAGAGAGAGAGAGAGAGAGAGAGAGAGAGAGTAAAATAAGGTTACTAAGGAAAAGCAGGTAACTTCAACCTTCCATTTTGTGGTTGACTTCATACTAATGACACAAACGTGATTAAGTTCTCACTTCTAGTTGGTAGCACTGCTACCCTCCCTCACACAACTGGTAACACTGGTACCCTCCCTCACACAGCTGGTAACACTGGTACTTTCCCTCACACAGCTGGTAACACTGCTCCCCTCCCTAACACAGCTGCCCTACTTCACACAACTGGTAACACTGCTACCCTCCCTCACACAACTGGTAACACTGGTACCCTCCCTCACACAGTTGGTAACACTGGTACTTTCCCTCACACAGCTGGTAACACTGCTCCCCTCCCTAACACAGCTGCCCTCCTTCACACAACTGGTAACACTGCTACCCTCCCTCACACAGCTGGTAACACTGGTACCTTCCCTCACACAGCTGCCCCCTCTCACACAACTGGTAGCACTGCTACCCTCCCTCACTCAGCTGGTAACACTGGTACTCTCCCTCACACAGGTGGTAACACTGCTACCTACCCTCACACAGGTGGTAACACTGCTACCTACCCTCAAACAGCTGGTAACACTGCTCCCCTCCCTCACACAGCTGCCCTCCTTCACACAACTGGTAACACTGCTACTCTCCCCCACACAGCTGGTAACACTGGTACCCTCCCTTACACACACACACACACACACACACACACACACACACACACACACACACACACACACATCAAGGATCAACAGGTGTTTATTCCCACACACACTATTGACTTCCGAAGTTCCGACCCCGTCAAGGTTCTACTTCAGAGATCCGGACTTTTGGTCTCTGTGGTCTATCTGTGGTCTCTGTGTGGTCTCTGTATCCTTGTACCCAGACATTTGGATTCTGTGGTCTCGGAGTCTACATGTGGTCTTTCTGTGGTGCATGTGGGCTTTCTGTGCTCTCTATAGTCTCTGTGGCATGTGTGGTCTTTCTGTGGCGTGTGTGGCCATTTTGTGGTGGTTATGGTCTTTCTGTAGTGTGTGTGTGGTCTTTATGTGGTGATGTGGTGTGTGTGGTCTTTATGTGGTGTGTGTTTGTGTGTGGTCTTCTGTGGTGTGTGTGTGTGTGTGTGTGTGTGTGTGTGTGTGTGTGTGTGTGTGTGTGTGTGTGTGTGTGTGTGTAGTCTTTCTGTGGTGTTTGTGGTCTATTTGTGATATGTGTGGTCTTTCTGCCGTGTATGTGGTCTGTCTATGGTGTGTGTGGTCTTTTTGTCGTGTTTGTGGTCTTTCTGTGGTATGTGTGGTCTTTCTGTGGTGTCCACACACACACACACACACACACACACACACACACTACATCCTTGACCACCGAAGGGTCAAGACGTACCTGGCGCTCCTCTCGGAGCAGCCAGGTCAACTGTTAAGTTGGCCCATACCAACCCCCTCCCCTGAACCCTCCTCCCCACCGGAATATCAACAAGTTCTCGCCAGAAGTTACATTTTCATTTAGGAAAGGAACGGAACCAGTGTTAAACAGAGGTGAACAATGGTGAACAGTGCTTAAGTCAGTGAGAACAACTCAACAGTAACAGTCGTACCCAAGTTAACCTTCACACAGTGAGGTCCCAGGTAACCAGTGATAACGGCCCGTGAGACCCAACAACAACCAGCGATGTGTTAATCCGTCTACGATAGAAAGGCCTAAGACCACACCTCACTCATATAACACCATCTGTGAGGGAATTACTACACCACATGTCCCTCATAACACCATCTGTGAGGGAATTACTACACCACGTCAAGTCCCTCATAACACCATCTGTGAGGGAATTACTACACCACGTGAGGTCCTCATAACACCATCTGTGAGGGAATTACTACTCCACGTCAGGCCCCTCATAACACCATCTGTGAGGGAATTACTACACCACGTGATGCCCCTCATAACACCATCTGTGAGGAAATTACTACTCCACGTCAGGCCCCTCATAACACCATCTGTGAGGGAATTACTACAACACGTGATGCCCCTCATAACACCATCTGCGAGGGAATTACTACACCACGCCAGGTCCCTCATAACACCATCTGAGGGAACTACTACACTACGTGAGTTCCTCCTAACACCATCTGGGAGGGAGTTACTTCACTACTAGTTTGCTGTTCAACACCTACATTAATCTGTATGTTCACTGTATGTTTCCTTACCTTTCTCTAAGGAAGGTTTTTGTTAAACCACCAATGTATGTAATAAGTCATTTATGTCCAATGTATATTTTCAGCCTTCAGGCTGCAGAATTCTTTCAATAAACCGTTAATTATTATTATTATTATTATTATTACAACGAATATAGCACTATACACACAGTAATTAACACACAACACACCTCATTCATCACCAAACATCTGGCAGGAACTTAATACTGTACCTCCAGATGCTTATTAGTACATCTATCTAGTATATCGTCCTCCTCTAAGCACCCGCTGCTGTTGTCATCTGATTTACGATGTTCATAGTTTGTTGGACATGAGCTCAAAGGTGGAGATATGAACTGGGTATTCTGAAAGTTTCGTTGGGTGAATTTCCCCTTAATTGAACTTTCTGCTAATTGAAGTTTTCGGTAACTAAGGTTCTAAAAAGTCTGTAGAGTGAATTATCTACTGTGTGAAATATCAGTAGACTAAGATCATGAAAGTTTCGTAGATGGAAATTCCTGGTGAACGGGAGTCTAAAACCTTTGTAGAGTGAATATTCCGCAAAGTAAAATTCTGAAAATTTCGTAAAGCGAATCTTTCACTAACTAGGATTATGGGAGTTTCGTAAAGTGAATTTTCCATTAACTAAGATTCTGAATATTTTGTAGAGTGAGTTTTCCGCTAACTAGGATTGTGAGAAAATGTCGAACTGTTTCAATGAAGTCACGACACAATTGTAAAGACTCAAAGGGTTTACAAGGCACTAAACTAACCAACCGACTCACTTATGATATGTAGTAAATGACAACACACAAATGGTTCAGTTACAAATACGACTGAGACTTCAAAATGCTAGAACGGGTATACGAGGATGAAGGGGAATATAGTGCAAGAGGAAGAGAAAAAGGAGGAGGAGGAGGAGGGGGAAAAGGAGGAGGAGGAGGATGAGGTATAGTGGGAGGAAGATGAAGAGGACATACAGAAGGAGAAAGGAAGTAAAAAGGTGAGGTATACAAGAAGGAAGGAAGAAGAGGAGGAGGAGGAGGAGGAGGAGGAGGAGGAGGAGGAGGAGGAGGAGGAGGAGGAGGAGGAGGAGGACCCTGGCGGAGAGTCATAATAATGAACTCTCGTTAGACGCTGGTTGATGGAGTGCCCACTTACCTCCTCTCCCCCCTCCCCTGTCCCTCATTCCTCTCCCCTCTCTCCCCCTCTCATCCCTCCATCCCTCCTTCCTATCTCCTCATGATGGTCATTATCAATCTGTCTATCTGTCGGTCAAGGTTTTAAAATAACCTTTAATAAACATACTCCACGAATACTGAAGTAAACTGAATCACTGAATCACTTGAATGAATCATCACACTCCGTCATTCGCGTCCCCTGAAAATCGTTTTGTCAAGCTAACCAGAAACAACGAGAGGTTCAGTATCATAATCAGAATCGTAATGATCGAGAGAGAGAGAGAGAGAGAGAGAGAGAGAGAGAGAGAGAGAGAGAGAGAGAGAGAGAGAGAGAGTAAACAGCGAAGATAAATCCACTGCCTGATATGGGCAGATTGTTAGTGTGGACCAATCCGAGTTGGTAAATTTACCCTAAACCTGTCAAAGTATTACAGGTTAACTTTCATGTAGGTTGTATTTTAACCTCTTACGATGCTGATCCATACAACATGAAAAAAAACTTGTTGTAGACCTGTACGATCTACTGTCGCAGTTGTTGTAGTAGTTGCTGTTTTAGCACCTTTAGTGAATGTTGTAGTAATAGTAGTAATTGTTGTCGTACTTACCTGTAGCAGTTGTTGTGGAACTTGTTGTAGGAGGAGAGGGCAAGGAGGGTACCGAACCCAGGTCCCAGGCTGAAGAAGATCTGGGTGGCGGCGTCGACCCACACCTGAAGGAGACGCCGAAAACAAGCTATAGTCATTACCAGCACTCAACTATTAGAATGGGAACTGGATTTACCTGTCAGACGCTTAAATGGCACCCTGGGCTCTCAAAAGACACTCAGGGCATTCAAAAGGCACCTAGGGCACTCAAGCGACACTCTTGTCATTCAAAACACACGCAAAAAGCGCTCAAAAGGTTCAGCAATACCAATATCATTGTCACTCACTTTGTTTAAATTTCAATATCACGTCTTGGATTTCTTGAGCATTTGCTGCATGGGCCGAGGAAACCATATAATAAACACCTTAGGATTATCCAGCATCTAGAAGCAAGTAAGGCAAGGAAAAGTATTGTACGCACCTTAGCTTTATCAAGCATCTGGAAGCGAGGGGTGATGTAGTAGAGGATGCCGTTGGTGGCGCCAGGAAGAGTGACGCCTCGCACCAACAAGATCAGCAACACTACGTACGGCATCAAGGCAGTCACCCACACAGCCTAAGGATGGGTAAGCGCCGCCATAAAGAGACAAATCCACGTGTTTACAGAGTCGCATCATAGTGAAAACATATGTACGTAAAATAGTGAGGTTTTTATGGAATACACTTATATATATATATATATATATATATATATGTTTATTTATTTATTTATTTTTAATGAAGAGGAGAACAAAGGAAAACACAAACATCTTTACTAGGTTGGGTTTCTTTAATTACTAACATTTCGGAAAATCATTTTTCATCATCAGAGCCTAGAAAATAGTCAAAAAGTTTTAAAAAATACAGGTAATATACAATAAAAACGAAACATTATTCTAAAATTTACCTTCCGCAAAAGTTTTAAAAGACCATTATAATTTAAAACCAATAGGTATGACGGGAGACCTCCGTGGAAAACTAAAATCAGAAAATAAACTAAAACGTACATGAGGTATTACCTTAACTGAGACGAGCCTCAGTGAGAAGAACACAACAGTTCAGAGGAAGCCATTTCACAAATGGATGGCTTTATTTTGTATTGATGCAAGGCTTCCGTTATGAGGAGGTCCGTTTCACAGTTGCTCCTGCCAAGAACTGAGAAATCAGACTGCAAAATCGGGTGGGCATGTTGGTGGGCGTGGTTACGGAGAGCTGAATGTGGTGGTTGGGTGATTAACTGGTCTGTTCGGACGGAACGGCCCACGTGAGTAATCAAGTGTCTTTTTGTTTTACCTTTTATGATGCTCTATAGCTAGCACACATAAATTGATAAACAACTGAGGATTGCAAGTGTGTGGAAACATAAAATTTACTAGTGAATTAGAAAAGGACATTATTCTACCATTTCTTGATATTAATATCCACCGTCTGCATAATAGTTTCCAGACAGCCTTATACAGAAAACCAACATTTACTGGTTTGAGTACAAAATTTTCATCATTTATTCCTCTTAATTACAAACAAAATCTAGTGCGTACTCTCACCGATAGAGCCTTTAATATATGATCAAGCTATTTCCACTTGGACTTTGAACTGAAATATATAAAGGAAGTAATCTTTAACAGATACTTATATAGGCAAAACCCTTAATAGGATTTTTGTTCCAACACAGCCTCAAATCCACACCGTTCCTGAACATTTATTCTATTTCACCATCCCGTATACAGGTCCACTCAGATTTACCCTTAGAAACAAACTTAAGAAGCTTCTCAATGAATTCTATCCATAAATTTCTCTTAGACTAGTCTTCAAAACCCAGAGTTCAATTTAAAAATAATCTTTGAAACTAAAGACACCATACCCACACACCTGCAAACCTCAGTTGTTTATCAATATAAGTGTGGTAGCTGTAGGGCATCATAATGGGTAAAACAAAAAGACACTTGATTACTCATTCCATGAGCACGCTGGCGGTTCCGTCCGAACAGGCCAGTTAATCACCCAACCACCACATTCAGCTCTCCTTAACTTTATAATATGGACACGAAGTAGTACCTTAAGTTGTGTATTCTTATATTACTCTATTAATTATGTATAGTAAAGTATTACAGAACATGTATTAATCCTATGTAATATTTCCATTTATTATGCACCATGTTATGTATGTGAATTATCATATTTACATATTATGTATTCAGCTTGTGAATGCTGGCATCTGTACATGCCAGCGCAGAGTGATACAGGGAGTTGAGATCGCTAGTCATTATGGTGGGGAAGCCCACTGTCTATTTGTTTCCCCTGTACATCTCCCGTACGAGAATAAGAACCTATTTTCAAGATAACAAGTGTTTGCATGTACCCTCCGTAGTGTAGAACATTTTGGGGGTATCAAAGACAAACATAGAGTAACCACGCCCACCAACATGCCCACCCGTTTTTGCAGTCTGATTTCTCAGTTCTTGGCAGGAGCAACTGTGAGACGGATCTCCTCATAACGGAAGCCTTGCATCAATACAAAATAAAACCATCCATTTGTGAAATGGCTTCCTCTGAACTGTTGTGTTCTTCTCACTGAGGCTCGTCTCAGTTAAGGTAATACCTCATGTACGTGTTAGAATAATGTTTCGTTTTTATTGTATATAACAACATTTTGTTTTGTTTTACTATTTTCTAGGCTCTGATAATGAAAAATGATTTTCCGAAACGTTTGTAATCAAAGAAACCCAACTTAGTCAAGATGTTTGTGTTTTCCCTGGTTCTCCTCTTCATTTTATATATATATATATATATATATATATATATATATATATATATATAAATATATATATATATATATATATATATATATATATATATATATATATATATATATATATATATATATATATATATATATATATATTTATTTTTTTTTTTGGAATTAGCCTACCCTGGCAAAGGTCGAACGACCCACAACGGGGCCCAGGGAGCGAAACAATAAGAACAGATAGAAATTAAAAATAGAGAAGAAAAAGGTTATACTGTGTTAATCTACACCACGAAGATGCCGGAAAACCATCCTTTTAAAGTGAGACATATTGTATAAGTATGGAAACACAGAAGAAGGCAGAGCATTCCACAGTTTGGCTGTGTGAGGAAAGAAGGATGTACTACTACGGGTTATTCTAGTGTGACCGACATCCACAGAGAAACGGTGGGCACTGCGGGCAAAACGAGTGCTACGAGCCCACGGCCTTGCCGGCAGTCACAGGATGCCAAATCCACCGAACATTGCCTGTTAAAGTGCCTGTAAAAGAGAGAGAGTGAAGCAACATTGCATCGAAGAGAAAGGGAAGAGATATTGTCAACTAAAGGAGGAGAGATAATAAGACGAAATGCCATTGATTCCACCCTATCTAACAGTTGGACAGAAGAAGTCACTCCAGATATAAGAGCAGTACTCCAAGTTAGGACGAATGAATCCCTTATACAGTATACTTGAAGCAACTGCTCAGGAGTGAAGTAGCTACGGCATCTGTACTGCATTCCCAACTTTCGTGAGGCAGGTTTAGCTATGTTAAGGATGTGTGATTTCCATGACATATTGGGGGAAATGGTGATGCCTGGCATATCTATTTCAGAATTTGGCAGAATGATGGCGTCCTGAAATGTAATTGGTGGGAGATCATCTATTTTAGAAAGTATAATTGGTAAATAATGAGTTATATTACTATTGAATTTAACCAAGTTTCTATCTCCCCATTCAGAGATGCTGCACAGATCCGCATTGGTAGAAGTAATGATGTCAGCTCTAGAAACAGATCTAGTTTAAGAGTTAGGAGGAAGGGGAAAATGTAAAGAAGAGTGAAGAGAAGAATCATCAGCGTAAGAATGGATAGAATTAGTTGTAGTGTGAAGTAAATCATTGATAAAAGAAGGAAGAGAGTAAGTGAAAGAACAGAACCCTGAGGGACACCACCATTGATAGAGAAAGAGCAAGAGATCGATCCCTCGACAACAACTGCCATGGAACGGTTCTCAAGGAAGCTAGAGATTAGAAAATAAAGTGGGGGAGAGAAACCATAAGGGGGAAGTTAAGAAAGCAAAGACTTGTGCCATACCCTGTGAAATGCTTTGGAGATGTCGAGGGCCACGACGGAAGTTTCCCCATAATCCCAAAGAGAGGATGACCAAAGATGGGTGCAATAGGAGAGCAGATCACCAGTAGATCTCGCCTGGCGAAAGACATACTGGTGATCCGACGAAAGAGAATGGCGTTCAAGGTGACGGAGAAAATGGGAGTTCAAGATAGTTTCGAAAATCTTAGAGAGGGATGAAGTTAAGGTAATGGGGAGATAGTTAGAGGGATTAGAATGGTCACCCTTCTTCGGGATGGGCTGAGCCAAGGCTTTCTTCCAAAAAGAAGGAAAAGTTTGGGTTTTGAGGCAGAGGCGAAAGAGGCGAGCAAGCACAGGGGCTAGAGCTTCAGCACACTCCCTCAGAACACGAGGGGTTATTCCGTCCGGTCCATGCGCCTTACTCACATCCAACCTGGATAACACACCTGCAACCCTGCGAGTGAAGATTATTGGAAATTGCATAGGTTCAGTAGGAGGTGCAGGGGTAGGAGGGGTAGAGTGGGAATCGTCTAAGGTGGAATTAGAGGAGATTAAGGCTTTGTCAGTGGGAGAATTGGCTATAGAGTTATGAGGGTGGAAGAGAGGAGGAAAAGAAGGAGTGCAGAAGTTATTACAGATGTTTTTGGTTAAGGACCAGAAGGATTTACTAGAGGAAGAATTAGTCACGACAGCGGTCTTTCTTTTTATAAAATAGCTTACAACGATTCCTAAAAGTAATGAAAGAGGTGTGGGTAATAGGAGAAGGAGATAATTTCATAGCTTGATATGCCCAATTTCTCACCCTGCATGCGATCAAACCATGATTGTAAATGAAAGTTTTGGTAGAAGATGGGATAAATGCACTCATACCACCCTGTATAACCACAGTAATGCTGTCAGGACATACCGAGGTGTCCTGAGTGTTAAAGCAACATTCAACCCAAGGAAAGTCGGTGAAAAATTCTCGCAAGGATTGCCAGCTTGCCCTCCGATTAGTGCCATAGTTGACGTTTAGATGGGGTGGGGGAGGTGGTCGTGCCCAGTTTGATTTAATAGAAATAAGGTTGTGATTAGAAGTCCCTAAGGGGCACAAATTGAGTATGAATAGTGTGAAGGGTTAGAGGTAAAACAAAGATCAAGAATGTTAGCAAGTTGATCGTCTCGATCAGGAACGCGTGAAGTGTGTTTGATTATTCGTTCCAAATCATTAAGTAGAGAAAAAGAGAGTTCCTCAACTCCACCTGGGTCAGAGCCAAGTCACTCTTTGTGATGTACACTTGTACAGTCTCGTTCAAGATTCTTCCAATACTGCTGGAGACAACTGGCAACTCAAGACCGTAGTAGAAATTGTGAATAAATGTAAAAATGATCTGTGATTGGTTACTTAGTTCCCATTGCTTAATTCAATGATTGGGCTTTGTTGTTTCGTATTACATTATACTACGTACTATAGTAAACAAACGGTCTTGAGTTGCCAGCT